GTGCACGCCTGTGCCGCCAAGGGGGTGCTGCTCAGAGGCTGGAGGGATGGCGTGTGCGGTGAGTGTCCCTGAGCCACTCTGGCTGCACCGGGTGGGGGCAGGGGGGCTGGGGATCCCGGGGGCAGCCACCCCCCACCCACATGTTCTCAGCCAGAGCTTCTGGCTTCCTCGGTCGGGCCAACCGAGGACCTTGTGGTCCCACCATCCCTGGGTGTCAGAGGGGAAACTGAGTCTTGGGCTGCTTAAACACCGGTTTGGAGGGGGCCATCCAGCCACTGACTTGAGCGCTGCCCCTGCCCCCAGCCAAGTATGTGAGCAGCTGCCCCAAGTCCCAGAACTACAGCTATGTGGTGGCCGGCTGCCAGCCCACCTGCCGCGCTCTGAGCCAGGTCGACGTCACCTGCGGCATCACCTTCGTGCCTGTGGACGGCTGCATCTGCCCCTCGGGCACCTTCCTGGATGACTCGGGTGTCTGCGTGTCCGCTGAGGCCTGTCCCTGCTACTTCCGTGGCTCTGCAGTGGCCCCGGGGGAGGTGGTGCATGACGACAGCGTGGTGTGGTAAGGGGCCAGCTGGGCCCATGCCCCCCCCCCCCCACATCACTGTGCCCCATCCCAGGAGAGCGAGGGTCTCGTCACCCTGTTTCACACGCAAAGATGTCTGGGTGTCTCCCAGAGGATTTTGAAACACAAAGGTGCTCCCTGGGGAGGGAAGTTTGCCCCTCCCCCCACATCCCTTAGTCCTGCTGTGAAGAGGTAGCCCTCCCTTGGCCTCCAGAGGGTTCTGAGGGTCCAGGGCCCAGGGAGGGCGTGTGCATTGCACAGGACGGTTTTCTCTCCGCGCCGGGGGAGGGGTGCCCCCAGCCGGGCAGAGATCTGGGTGAGGTCTGTGGGGTGGTGGGTGGGCAGGGGGTCCAGAGAGGATCGTCTGTATCTCACAGCTCGTGCGTGGGTGGGAAGCTGAGTTGCCTGGGAGCAGCGGAGCACAGGAGCTCAGGTACGGCCTCTGGGCGGCACCCCGAGGGAGGGGCTTCCGCGGGCCCCGGGTGGGGGGAGGGGCCCCTCCCAGCCCAGCCCCGCCTCCTCCGCAGGGTGCGCGGCCCCCATGGTGTACCTGGACTGCCGCAACGTCTCCGCCGGCGCGCCCGGGGCCGAGTGTCTCAGGAGCTGCCACACGCTGGACGTGGACTGTGTGAGTGGCCGGGAGGGCACGGCGAGGGCGCTGCCCGAGGGCGTCCCCGGGCACAGCGGGTGACCGGCACTGACTTGTGCCGGTCCACAGTTCAGCACTCACTGCGTGTCCGGCTGCGTCTGCCCCCCGGGGCTGGTGTCGGACGGGAGCGGAGGCTGCGTGGCGGAGGAGGACTGTCCTTGTCTGCACAACGAGGCCGCCTACAAGCCCGGGGAGACCATCAGGGTCGACTGTAACACCTGGTAGGTCGGGGCTACTCCGCAGGGGGCGGGGCAGGGCCGAGGCCTGACATTGCCCCCGCCCCCCCCCGCCCCCCGCCCCCGGGAAAGCCCTGGGGTGTGCCCTTCGTCCTTGGAAGGTGCCCCAGGGGCCAGGCCTAGCCGTGGCCGGCCGGTCAGAGCCGACGCCAGGGGCTCCGGCCCCGCCGCACTCCAGGCGCCAAGGGCTTCAGAAGCCGAGAGACAGGAGTGCCGCAGGCAGGCAGGTGGCAGGCGGCGACTTCCTGAGCTCGCCGCGTCACTTAACCCCTCCGGAGAGTGGGGCGGGGCGGCCCCCGTGACCTGGCCGTCGCCTGCCCTCGCCTCGCAGCACGTGCAGGAGCCGCAGGTGGGAATGCAGCAGCAAGGCCTGCCTGGGCACCTGCGTGGCCTACGGGGACGGCCACTTCATCACCTTCGATGGCGAGCGCTACAGCTTTGAAGGAAGTTGCGAGTACACGCTGGCGCAGGTACGCCTGGCCCCCTCTCTGCCCCCGCCTACCCGGCCTCCTAGCCCCGCCCCTCGCCCCGGCCACGCCCCCACTCGTCCTCCTCGTCCCACCCTCCTCGCCCTCGCCCCTCTCGCCCCCCCCCCTCGCCCCCCCCCCCACCCCCCTCGTCCTCGTCCCGCCCTCCTCACCCTCGCCCCGCCCTCCTCGTCCCGGCCACGCCCCCTCTCGTCCTCTTCGTGCCCGCCCCCAGCCCCGCCCTCCTCATCCCCGCCCCACCCCTGCTCCCGCCCTCCTACGCCCCCCACAACCTCCTCGTCCCCGTCCCCGCCTCTCGCCCCGTCAACCTCGCCCCACCCCCGCCTCCTCATCCCGGCCCATCGCCTCGTCCTCCTCCCCCCCGCTCCCCTCCCGCCCTCTTCGTCCCGCCCCCTCGCCCGGCCTGCTCCCGCAGCCTGACCCCTCCCTGTCCCAGGACTACTGTGGGGGCAATGGCACCGGCACCACAAATGGGACTTTCCGCGTCGTCACCGAAAACGTCCCCTGTGGGACCACGGGTGTCACCTGCTCTAAGGCCATCAAGCTCTTCCTGGAGGTGAGAGCCCCCAGGAAACTTCTCCCTCCCTCTGCCCTCCAGCTGACTGACGGTCCTGGGGCAACCTGAACAAATGACCACAGCCTGGACCCGAAACCAGAGAAATTCATTCTCTTGGTTGTGACGCCAGGACTCCGCCATGCAGGTGTCCCAGGGCCGAGACCCCCCCCCCCCCCCAGCTCCTGGGCTCCACCGCCCCTCCCCCACCTGTCTGCCCCTCTCCTCTCCCACACGGACACCTGTGGTTGGACTGAGGCTCGCCCTAAGTCCCAGATGAGCTCATCCGTCGCTGACACCTGCAAAGACCCTCCTTCCAAATAAGGTCACATTCACGGGTTTCAGGGGTCAGGATGTGGACACACCTTTTTGGGGGCCTGCGTTCAGCCTACCACATCAGGGTGCCCAGTTCCAGCAGAGGGAGGTCAGAGTTCACCGGGCAGAGAGGCGCACTGCTGGCGGGGGACGTCTCCCCCACAGGGTGGTAAGAGCATGAGCAGGGTCGCCTCACTCAGAGGCCAGCGAGTTGGGGTGGCCAGTCCTGCAGACTCCCTCTGGGACCCGTGCACCCCTGCTTACCGTGGCCCTGGCTTTCTATGCGGCCTCCCAGCCCAGTCGGCTTGGCCTCTCGCCTGGTGTTTGCTGACAGTCAGGAGCCCACCAGCCCTGTGCCGAGGGCCCCTGAGTACCTGTGGCCCCCGGGCTGGCCCCTCCGTCCCGGCTGCCACCACCTCCGTGTGCCCCTCTGCAGAACTATGAGCTGATCCTGCGTGAGGGCACCCACAAGGTGGTGCAGAGGGGGCCGGGCGGAGACCTGCCGTACAAGGTCCGGTACACGGGCGTCTACCTGACTGTCGAGACCCGCAGCGGCATGGTGGTGTCCTGGGACCGAAAGACCAGCGTGTTCATCCGACTACAGCAGGGCTACAAGGTGAGAGTGGGCGGGCTGGGGACCCCCTCTGGCAGGGACAGATCTGGCCCAGAAGGGACCGTCTGGCCGCTGACAATCCACGGAGGGCTGGGGCCAGTCCACTCACAATGCCAACTTCTGAAAAGGCAGGTGTTGAGACCCAAGGGACCGACTGACAGAGTCCTGGTTAGAAAGCCATTCTCTGCTCTCTGGTCCCCCCACGCCCACCGGCCTGCTTGCCCACCTGCCCACCTGTTCATCTGGCTGCCCACCTGCCCGCCTGCCATAGGACCCACTGTGCACCCCATCCGCCTGCAGGTTCCCCGGGCACTCCCTGGGGACACCAGGCGTCAGGCAGTCACCCCTGGGCTATGCGCCGCTCCCTCGGGCTGCCCCCTGCAGCCCCAACACCCATGCTGCCTGCCCCCCCACCCCCCTCCGTGTGCAGGGCCGGGTCTGCGGGCTGTGCGGGAACTTTGACGACAATGCCGTCAATGACTTCACCACGCGGAGCCAGTCCGTGGTGGGCAACGCCCTGGAGTTTGGCAACAGCTGGAAATTCTCCCCGTCCTGCGCCGACGCCCCGGCCCCCAGGGACGCCTGCGCTGCCAACCCGCACCGCAAGTCCTGGGCCCAGAAGCAGTGCAGTGTCCTCAACAGCGCCACCTTCGCCGCCTGCCATTCTCAGGTGGGCTGTGCGAAGTGGGCGCTCCGGCCTCGGGGGCTGGAGGGTCGGGCTGCCTCCTTCCCTCCTGGTCAGGGCTGGGTCTGGCCTGGGCCTCTGAGCTTGGTCTTGATGTGGGTGCACACCAGGCGGGAGGTCCAAACGGTGTGCCCCAAGCCCTGCCCAGGGGTCCCGACCCAGAGCATCCCACAGCTTTCCTTGACCCCTCAGGCCCATTCCCCTAGAAGCGGGGTTGTGAGCCATACAGACCCCCGGTGTCACCTCCCTGTCCTACCCACATTCCCTGGCCTGCCGGGCTTCACCAGTACTGAGGACTGGAGTCGGCCTTGGAGACTCTTCCCCAAAGTCCTTCCTGTGACTTTAATGAGACCTCGAGTTCTCATCACTCACGAGCACGGTCTCACGATCCAGGACGTGACGCGCAGGCCGCTTAGGAGGAAACGGTCTGGTGGCAAACGTGTCTTGGGTTCACTCTGGGCTCTGCTGCTCAAGGGAGGAGTGTGGTTGGGGGCCCGCCCCCTCACCCCGAGGAGACAGGCCGGGTCACGACACAGCTACGGGGAGGGCTGTCTGTGGTTCAGTGTGATGTGAGCAGAGGTGAGGGGTGAGGGGCACAGAGGGGCAGGCTGGCCGGGGCGCGGGTGGAGGTGCCCAGGTGGGTGGGAGTCACGGGTCTCAGACCGCAGATGTGGGAAGCCAGGATCAGATGGTCCCTCTGCTGGGGTAGGGCTGGCGGTCCCCTGACTGGCTGCCGAGCAGACCAACCACCCTCTGCCCCAGGTCGACTCCACCAAGTATTACGAGGCCTGCGTGGGCGACACGTGTGCCTGTGACTCCGGGGGCGACTGTGAGTGTCTCTGCACGGCCGTGGCCGCCTACGCCCAGGCCTGCCGCGACGTGGGCGTGTGCGTGTCCTGGCGGACCCCGGACATCTGCCGTGAGTTCACGGGATGTGTCGTCGGGGCAGGGCGGGCCCCCACCCCAGGGAGCGACACACTGCGCGGTTAAGGCTGGTCGCCCGCGGAGGGGGGCGGCGGGTGTCGGAAAGGAACGTGAAATGGGGAGGGGTGTCACCGATGGACAGACGGGAGAATGTTCCGGAACCCAGAGGGGTCAGCCCTGCTCCCCCACCCCGCCCGCTTAGAACCTGGCCGGAGGGGAGCGTAGCGGGCAGCCGCTCCGGCCGGAGTCCCCCACCCTGGCAGGCGGCACCCCCGAGGAGCCGGGGGACCCGCGGCTGCGTCCCAGGTCACGGGCATTTGGGGCCCACGCCCCCCGAGGCCCCGTGCGGGAGGCACAGGGGAGGGACGGGGCTTGGTCGAAGGTCGGGGTGCAGGGGGAGCCCGGCCGGCCGCCGGGTGGCCCTGGAGGCCGTCGTTGCCAGGGCGGCGCCCCGCCTGGGGCCGCTGGTGGCTCGCTCTGGCCGGAGCCGGCCCGCTGAGTCGGCCCCCTCACCTGCAGCCTTGTTCTGCGACTACTACAACCGCGAGGGCCAGTGCGAGTGGCACTACCAGCCGTGCGGCGCGCCCTGCATGAGGACCTGCCGGAACCCGAGCGGCCGCTGCCTGACCGACCTGCCGGGCCTGGAAGGTGAGGGCAGGGTCGTGCGTGGGTGGCGGGCTGGCCGCCCCGGGGCCGCAGCCACCACCTGGCCACGAGGGTGAGTCTCCTGCCCGCCCCGCCCCTGCCCAGGCTGCTACCCAAAGTGCCCGCCCAGCGAGCCGTTCTTCAACGAGGACCGGATGAAGTGCGTGGCCCAGTGCGGCTGCTACGATGAGGATGGGGACTACCACGACGTGGGCGCGAGGGTCCCCACGGCAGAGAACTGCCAGAGCTGGTGAGTGGGCGGGGGAGCCGGGGCGGGGGGCCGCCGGCCCGGTGGGGCTGGCCCTCAGCTCTCTCCTCTCCCCTCCCTAGCGAATGCACGGCCGGCGGCCTCCGGTGCGCGCACAGCCTCGAAGGTAAGGGTGAGGGGTGCCACGCGGGGCTAGGGACTGGGGGCTGGGGTCTCCAGGTCAGCCCTGCGCCTACCCTGTCTGCCAGCGTGCACCTGCACCTACGAGGGCAGGACCTACCATTTCGAGGACGTCATCTACAACACGACCGACGGGCTCGGTGCCTGTTTGATCGCCATCTGTGGAAACAATGGGACCATCATTCGGAGGGCTGTGGAATGTCCCGGAACCCCGTCCACGACCCCCTTCACCTTCACCACCACCGTGACACCCCTCTCCACAACAGGTAAGCCTGGAGGACACCCTGCTGGTCCTGCCTCCCTCTCCCAAACCCCGGAGTCTGGGCAACAGTCTGGGTGGTGAGGGAACACCAAGTGGCAGGTCAGTGCAGGCGTCCTGGGCGTGAGGGACGGCCTGGGTCACCTCTCCTCCTGGGCACGGCTGGCGGGCGTGCAGAGGAGGCTGATGACGTTCCTGCCTCCCACCCACAGGCTCGGTCCCCACCTCCTCCACTGTGTGTGTGCGAGAAGTGTGCTATTGGTCCGGCTGGCATGACAGCAGCCATCCAGAGCCTGGCCTGCCAGGTGGAGACTTTGAGACGTTTGTGAACCTGAGGCAGAGGGGCCATGAGGTCTGCCCAGCCCCAGTGGCCATTGAGTGCCGGGCACAGAAATTCCCCCACGTCCCGCTGCAGCTCCTGGGCCAGAAAGTGGAGTGCGACGTGGCCCGTGGGCTGACTTGCCTCAACGGTGAGCAGAGCCACCAGCTATGCTATAACTATGAGCTGCAAGTCCTCTGCTGTGACCACGTGCCCTGTGGCACCTCCCCTGGTGCCACCACCCAGCAGCCACCCGTCAGCTCCCTGACTGGCCCCACCTTCCAGTCCACGGGGGCCCCCACCGTCCAGTCCACGGGGGCCCCCACCGTCCAGTCCATGCGGGCCCCCACCGTCCAGTCCACGGGGGCCCCCACCGTCCAGTCCACGCGGGCCCCCACCGTCCAGTCCACGCGGGCCCCCACCGTCCAGTCCACGCGGGCCCCCACCGTCCAGTCCACGGCGGCCCCCACCGTCCAGTCCACGCGGGCCCCCACCGTCCAGTCCACGCTGGCCCCCACCGTCCAGTCCACGGCGGCCCCCACCGTCCAGTCCACGGGGGCCACAACCACGACAGGGACCCGGACACTAAGCTCCTCGGCCTCGGCCACCACCGCCTGTCAGCCCCGGTGTCGGTGGACAGAGTGGTTCGATGAGGACTACCCCAAGTCCGAGGAGGCCGGGGGGGACGTTGAGTCGTATGACAAGATCAGGAGGGCAGGAGGGGCCGTGTGCGAGCATCCGGAGGACATCGAGTGCCAGGCCGAGATCTTCCCCGGCACGAGCCCCGCAGAGCTGGGCCAGCACGTGCACTGCGACCCCAGCTTCGGCCTGGTGTGCAGGAACGCGGAGCAGGCGGGCCTGTTCAAGATGTGCTACAACTACAGGATCCGTGTGCTCTGCTGCAGCCGCGACCACTGCGCAGGGCCCACCGCCACCGCCGCCACCACCGCCGGGCCGTGGACTCGGACGAGCCCTCAGGGGACCCCGTGGCACCCCTCGACGGGACCCACCCTGGCGTCAGGGACGACACCCACCCATGTGGCTCCCACCGTCACAAGAGCAGCGGGCGCAACAGGCACCGGCACCATCAGCCCACCGTCCACAGAGACGACCACGCCAACAACAAAGACGTCGCCGGGAACCCCGGGAACCGGGCCCACCACCGGCCAGGGCACGACCGGCTGTCAGCCCCAGTGCGAGTGGACAGACTGGTTTGACGTGGACTTCCCGACCTCAGGGGTGGAGGGCGGGGACATGGAGACCTTCGACAACATCAGGGCCGCCGGGGGCAAGCTGTGCCGGGAGCCCAAGGACGTACAGTGCCGGGCAGAGAGCTACCCCGAGGTCAGCATCGACCAGATCGGGCAGGTGATCAGCTGCAGCCTGCAGACAGGGCTGGTCTGTAGGAACGCGGACCAGAAGGGCCAGTTCAACATGTGCTTCAACTATAACGTCCGGGCGCTCTGCTGCCAGCCCTCCCCCCACTGCCCCACCTCCGCGGCCCCCAGCACCAGCAGCACTGCCGCTGGGGCTGTGACGTCACCGGGACCAGGGGCCTCCACCAGAGCAGTAACCCGGTCCCAGGCCTCTTCCCCCAGGAACACCCTGATGGTCACTGTCCCCACCTCCCAGACAGGTCCCTCCTCCCCCGGGACCACCCAGACCCTTCCTCCTTTGTCTGGGACCACCCAGATCCTTCCTTCTTCCCCCAGGACCACCCGGACCGCTCCTTCTTCTGGAACCACCTGGAGGGTCACTGTCCCCACCTCCCAGACAG